TGAGATTCTAAATAATGGAGTTATGGCTTGCGACGTTTTTTAGGAGACAGCCTGTATTTAAATAATAAAAAAAAAATTATGAAGCACGGACATTTTTTGTGTTTTATTAATAATATTTTCATTATCTCTGAATAAAATTGGATTAAAGGAGAGCCTATATTTTTAAAGCGACAACCTTTTTCAATCAAAAAATACTTTTTCAATATACAGGGTGGGCCTACAGTAACGCCTCGCTCGCTAATAACCAAACGGCAAATGTTTCAGAAACCTGTTTAGGTGGGTATGTGTAGGTTGATTATGGATACATTTTAAAAATATTTTGACATATACAGGGTCTCCAGGAAAAGCGTACAATATCAAAGTTATGTATTTTTAAATGGAACACCCTGTATTTTACAGCATTTTTCAAAAACCGTAAAAAAATAGGTGAATTTTATTAAAGGTTCTGCATACCTAGGACTTACAGTTTGTGAGATATTTTAATTTTTGTGAAAATGCAGGCTTAGCGTAGAAATTTAATATTAGCAATAAAAAAATAATTTAAAGGAAGCAGCTTTAGAGGGTCTATTTTAGATCCTTGAAGTTATAAATTGTTATATTTGTCGTCACTTAGTATTATACAGGGTGTTCAAAAAACTGCTGAATACTTCTCTCAACTTTAAACAGCAATAACTTGGTTATTTTAAATGGAACACCCAGTATATTTTTACTTTGGGAGTTGGGAAATTTAAAACTCTTTCAAACTGTGTATAGGTTCCCTATACCTATCTCCAACGGTATTGGAGATATTTGAGCCGTTTTGTTTTTATTGATTTTTTTTTGTAAGATGTATCCACGTGTCTTTATGGAGGTCCTTATTGAATTGGTTTGGGTTCTGCTTGATGATGTATCTTCAAATATATTGAGAAAAATGAGGATGCTATCATATTCATTTCAAATTATTTAAATCGAAAATTTAGTATGGGATAAGTAGGAATGGTGCATGTCAGTGTCCACGTAGATGTCCAGACCTCACCGTAACGGACTTCTTTGTTGCGAGCTATATAAAAAATCTTGTACACAATGTTCCACCTACTACTTGTGATGATATTGGAGGGAAGAAGTTATTGATGCATTACCAACTAAATCAGGATGTGATGGGATTCCCACAAATGTTATTAAAGACACATTTGAAATCNGAACAGTTGCGTCAGCGTATAGAAAATGCATTTAATGAACTCAATGTGAAGCACAAACTATACCGGAACCTATTTTCTTTGCAAAACAGGTTACGTGCGTGCATTAGGGCAAACGGCGGACATTTTGAAAGTTGAATCTGTCTTGACTAGGGCAAATCTTCTGTTAAAGAAATTAAGATATTTGGTTAATTTGTTAAACTAAACTAAATGGTTTAAATCTGTTAAAATGTTATGTACAAGTTTCAGCCGCATACAATAGTTTAATAAATAATCTCATATGCATCTATTTTTTAGCTTTTATTTATATCACCATATTTTTATTTGTTACTATTAAGAGTGTTAAAAATATTTGACATCTCTGTTAACTGTCAGACTAGTTATTTTCCCCATGGCACACTGCAATTAATTTATTTTGCTATGTAATGAAAGTTGAATTTGGAGCACGTTGGGAATGATTGANCTTTGTGACAATAATTTGAAAGTAAATATTGATAAATGTAAGTGGTTAGTATTAGGCAAAAAACATACATTGAATAAAATTTCGATAGAGGATTATATTAAATTAAATAACGAGAAACTAGAAAGAGTCCATCAGATAAAATATCTGGGTGTGATGTTGGATGAATGTATGTGTTTTAAACAACATACCGCATATATTGTTAAAAAAGTTGCCAAAAAAATTAATTTCTTAAGGCGTATATCTAAGGATTTATCATTTTTTGCCAGACTGACCATTTATAAAACGATAATTGCGCCACATTTTGAATATTGTTCAACGATTTTATTATTTTTAAATAACAATGAGATTCAGACTCTACAGAAAATGCAGAATAAAGCTATGAGGATTATTTTGCAGTGTAGTAGATATACTTCAATACAGGACATGTTAAATGCATTAAATTTTATAAACATAAAACAACAAATTTTGTTAAAAACGTTACAATTTATATATAAAATAAAAAATTTGCTCTTACCTAGTTATTTGCACAGTAGAATAACTTATAGCCCGGGAGGCAGCGACACTATTGATGTAATTATTCCTACAAAGCTGATTTTTTCTTATTTTGTTGTTTTTATATCACAAGTAAACGGAACAGCAGTCTACCGCGCCAATGTGGAGGCAAACATTAGTTTGAAACATGTAAATAAATAATACGTAAATGTCATGTCATAAATGTCTTATGTGGAGTGTGAAACTTTGTAGAGTGATCAATTATACCTAAAAATACAGGATAATGATAGTCTACCGCGGCGGAAACGGGGCCATTAAGGGTCTACCACTGACGGAATGTGTTAAAAAATAAACTTTTTTGATTTATTGCTAAAAGGCTATTTTTTTTTCTCAAATACTTTAGTTTATAAGAGAACCAAAGAAAACAGTCTACCGATTATCTAAGGGTGTAAAGCCTTGATAGACGCAATGTAATGCACGATCTCCCGAGCGCAGTCGTTACACCAATCCGCTGTAAGTCGCTCTGAATANCTTGAAAAAGCCCTTTGTTTTATCTTTTTCCACCCTTGGCCGGGGGTTGAACAAAAAATTACTCTCACTTATTGTTATAATATACCTTAAACTAACTCATATTAAAAATTCATGGAAGTTGACAAAATTTCGATTTAAAGGCTTAGTTAATTGGACTATATAAGGATTAGAGGTGCATTTGCGTGAGAATATTATTTGAAGATAGAATAAGATGCTGTATTCAAGAGAATGGTTATCAATTCGATCAATTAAAATTTTTCTTTATTTCTTCTAAAAGTAAAACTTTCTTTTATCATTATCATGACAATATTCAAAAAAGTTTTCTAATAAAAAATATTAAAATCATTAATTTTGTATAGATATGTTTGTGTAAGTAACTGAATTATTTATGAACATGAAAAATATTTATTATATTTATTAAAGAAAATTTTACTTTTAGAAGAAACAAAGAAAAATTTTGATAGATGTTTGAATTGATAACTATTCTCTTGAATACAGCATCTTATTCTATCTTCAAATTATATTCTCACATTCTTTAGAATATTTGGGGTGATTGTGGCAAATGCATATCTAATCCCTTCATATCATTGTAAGTAGTAGGTGGAACACTGTGAACAAGTTTTTATATAGCCTGAAACAAAGAAGTCCATTACGGGAGGTTTGGACACCTAGGTAGCCACTGACATGGACCATTCCTACCTATTCATTTATTTTTAAATTTTCGATTTATATAATTTCTCACTGAATATGAAAAATGTGCAGGTGTGCCATCTAATTGCATTCACATTTTTCTCCTTATATTTAAAGAGACGTCATTAAAAAGAGCCCAAACTAATTCAATAAAGACCTCGATAAAGACACGTGAATACATTTTACAAAAAAATTCGATAAAAAACGAAACGGCACAAATATCTCCAATACCGTTAGAGATAGGTATAGGGAACTTAAACACAATTTGAAAGAGTTTTAAATTTCCTAACTCTCAAAGTAAACATATGTATAAAGTTGAGAGAAGTACTCAGCAGTTTTTTGAACACCCTGTATAATACTAAGTGAAGACAAATATAGTAATTTATAACTTCAAGGATCTAAAATACACTCTCCAAAGATGCTTCCTTAAAATTATTTTTTTATTGCAAATATTAAATTTCTACGCTAAGTCTGCATTTTCACTAAAATTTAAATATCTCACAAACTGTAAGTCCTAGGTATGCAGAACCTTTAATAAATTTCACCTATTTTTTACGGTGCTTTCAAAAATGTAGTAAAATACAGGGTGTTCCATTTAAAAATACATAACTTTGATATGGTACGCTTTTCTTGAATACCCTGTATATTTCAAAATATTTTTAAAATGTACCTAACCTAAAAGGGTTTCTGCAACATTTGCCGTTTGATCCCTAGCGACCGAGGCGTTACTGGTGGCCCACCCTGTAGAATGCGATAAAAATTCAAATTATGATTATGATTATTTTGTAAGTAAAAAAATAATTTCTTTTTTTTTATGGAAAAAAGAAACATTTTGCAAATTAAAATTCAATGTTTATAAAAAATGTAATATGTACTCCTTTGGACTATTGTCTTTAGTGTAAATCATTGCATCCAGTGTAAGTTTGCTTGCTCAACAATCGCGGTCACGTGGGACTTAGGCATTTATGAAGATAANAACACCCTGTATAATACTAAGTGAAGACAAATATAGTAATTTATAACTTCAAGGATCTAAAATACACTCTCCAAAGATGCTTCCTTAAAATTATTTTTTTATTGCAAAAATTAAATTTCTATGCTAAGCCTGCATTTTCACTAAAAATTAAATATCTCGCAAACTGTAAGTCCTAGGTATGCAGAACCTTTAATAAAATTCACCTATTTTTTACGGTGCTTTCAAAAATGTAGTAAAATACAGGGTGTTCCATTTAAAAATACATAACTTTGATATGGTACGCTTTTCTTGAACACCCTGTATATTTCAAAATATTTTTAAAATGTAGCCGTAATCAACCTACACATACCCACCTAAAAGGGTTTCTGCAACATTTGCCGTTTGGTCCCTAGCGACCGAGGCGTTACTGGTGGCCCACCCTGTATTAGAATGTGATAAAAATTCAAATTATGATTATGATTATTTTGTAAGTAAAAATGTAATTTCTTTTTTTCTATTGAAAAAAGAAACATTTTGCAAATTAAAATTCAATGTTTATAAAAAATGTAATATGTACTCCTTTGGACTATTGTCTTTAGTGTAAATCATTGCATCCAGTGTAAGTTTGCTTGCTCAACAATCGCGGTCATGTGGGACTTAGGCATTTATGAAGATAATGGGTATTAAGACTTACCGCATCAGCTGTGCACGCATTATTCGCCATCTGCCTCGTAAGGGTTTTCAAAAAGGCAGTCTTGTCGGCCTCCTCATCCGCCATCGCAAAAGAATACAGTCTCTCCTTAAGCTCGTCATTATTTCTACACACTAAACTGAAAACCTTCTGACAGTCCTCTGTCTCTTTAATATCTATCACGCGTTTGATAGTATTCAGAGCCATAAGCTTCACGTGCTTGTAAGGTTTCGTCAAAGGTTTATTGCTCTGTAAGCTGCCGCCGCCAGAGGGGCTCTTCAGACTGTTGAAGGCTTTCGATTTCTTCTTGCACACCTCCAGCTGGTCAGAGAACAGGAAGAGAACAAGACTGTTGCCTTTACTCGAAAGGCCTTCTGAGGAGGACAGCTGTATCACTTCGGACTTTGCTATAAAGCTTCTGTGAGACGACACAATATCAGGCTGTAAAGGAAATATTGTTAGGCAGGTAAAATTTTTGTAATGGTATGTATTTCAGTAAAAATATTATAAAATTTAAAATCTTTATAACTGAAGAAATAATACAGAAATAGGAGACTTACAATAGAAACTTTCTTTCAACTGTAATTAAAAAATACAGGAACTTTTACACCATTTTAAATATACACAGGGTTATTCTAAACTACGAGGGTCGGCTGAAAAGTAATGCACACACGACTGTACAAGAGCAACAAAACAATCTACAGTGCTGCGTGCGGTGGCATAACAAACCTGCATCCCCCTCTACCAGTGTACGAAGTTTCGTTAAAATACCTCTGCATTTTCCCATTCGGTACCCGTTATCATGGAGATGAGTACCACTGCTTTGAGGTCATCCATTAATCACGCGAGGTCCAATTAGGGGAGGGGAGGGGGCTTTGGATAACATTACTATTGCTCAAAATGGGGGAGGGGGGATTGTTGTTACATATCACGTATATATTTTTGCGGAACCATGCCCGAGAATGCCTTGCTGTGAGCTTCGATATGACATCACGATAAATAACGCGCAATTGACGTGGTCGATCTTTGTAAGATCGTCTGTCGCCCACCGCCCTCGCTAACTAACAACCACCGCTGTTTTTTTTTTTGTTTTTCTTAAAAAGTATTCTGAAAATATTGAAGTTTAAACAAAAATACACGTGATGTTTAACCTCTGAAAACGTAAATATTTTTCGCTGATTAAAAGGGGTGTATGGTGGTGATACTGTTGAGGGAAGTACAGTGAATCGATGGGTGATGAAATTTCTCGAATGTGAACCTGGTAAAGCAAATATTGAGGATGGCAGTTTCCGTAACTGATGAAATTCATCGCAAGAAAGTGGACGGTTTGATTCGAAATAACCATCGAATCACGCAAACGCTTAGTGCAAAACATCTGGGAATATCGAAACAACGTGTAGGCCATATCATTGGAGGACTTGGTTATCAAAAAATCTGTTCCAGGTTGGAGCCACTGAGAAAGCGCTATGCAAGTTGAAGTTCATGCCCTATTTCTCACTCTCCCTACTCTCCCGATTTTTTTTCACTTTTTCCCAATGATGGAACCTCACTCAAGGATAACCATTATGCTTCAAACGATGAGATGAAAGAGGCAGTAAAGTCTTAAATCAAAGAAAAGGACGAAAATTTTTTCGTTGACAGAATGAATAAATTTGTCACACGTTGGGAGAAATGTATAAATGTTAATGGGGACTACGTATAAAAATAAATATATCATTTTGACGCTAAAGAATTCTATTTTCATTTTTTTTTGTCCCATGCGGATATCTCTTCTCGTTCCCCCTCCGCGGTCATGTATGCATTACTCGAGGCATTACTTTTCAGCCGACCCTCGTATGTAGCAACGGAAAGATAGTGTCTCACACTTCTAACTAGTTCTGCCACTTATGATTTGTATAACTAATACAAATATAGGGTATAGAAAGTTTTAACGATAAATTCAATTTAATACTCCGTCTATTTTCCAATAGATTGTTCTTCTACATTAAGAGACTACAGAATCTCGTCAGTACATAAAGAGTTAAGCAGAAAGGACTCAAAAACACCGAAGCATTATAAAATATACAATGGTAAAGATAGATATACAGATTAGGTCTTTAGATATTCAGATATTCTTTAGACAGACAATCTCATGAGATTTTTTTTTCCTGAAAAATCACAAAGATGCAAGTGTTAAACAAAAGTTTTTGTATGCAAAAAAATTTGCTCATGGTCCCAAATAATATAAAAAAGGCATATTCTGATAACGCTCCTAAGGTTTGTTTTTGATAAGCTGTACTCCTTTCAAGAATTAATATTACAGTAGACTCCTGATTATGTGAACACACCCTAGTGGCGTATTTACTGCTCATTTAAGTGAACAGTGAATTGGGAATGTGCATTCATTACACAGTAGTGAGTTACTGTCTAACTCGTTTAAAGTGAGACTGCTAAAAACCTGTGATTTTCGCCCGTTTTTTCACAATTCTCAGAGAATTTTAAAAAATACATAAAAATATGTTTTTGGTCGCAAATTACTTGTCGTAAAAAACTAAAATGAGCATAGTTTTTAGTATTTTAAAAGTTTTAAAAATCACCCCTACTTAGGGGTTGAAAAAATGCAAAAAAATGAAGAATTTGAATATTACCAATTGATATAAAAACTATTAGCATGTCAATTATCTAATATATATTTTTTTTGGAATTTTTACAATTATTTCCGACATTCTCTATTTTTGGGGATGACTCCACCTCCTGAGCGCGCTTAAGGGTGGATTTTCTAATTCAACATGGTTATTTCAGTCATGAGAATAAATCTTTCTTTGTATCAAGAATCATTCGATAGAAAAATTCACATGCTAATAGTTTTTATATTTATTGGTAATATTCAATACTTCATTTTGGGTGTCTTTTCAACCCTTAAATAGGGGATTTTCTTTAGTTCTCTGCGAATTGTGAAAAAACGGGATATTTTTAGGGTCACTCTTTGAAGTGGCGTGATTTGGGTAAACATGGGTGGCAAAAGAAGTAACTGTTTAAAACGCTGTTGAACAAAAATAAAATATTAGAAGAACTTGACAAAAAAGCTTTTGTGACGCCTTTAGCAACTGAATATGTTGAGGCAAGAAACAATGGCTTTATAAAAAAACATTGAGAAAACCTTTATAAATGGTTTCTTAAACACCATGACAAACACTTGCCAGTTTCTAGCGACGTAATTAAATTAAAAGAAAAAAGTGATACTTTCCTACTTATGAAAATGGTAAGGAGTTTACAGCAAGAGTTTGCTTCAACATTTTAAAAGGGGATATGGCATAAATTTCTAAAAAATTGCAGGAGAAAATCTCTCATCTCAATCAGAATTAGTTGATCCTTTTATAAAACGTGAACTGGTAAATTATTATGATTACAATTTTTTTTCGTATTATCTAACTAAAAAAAATAACTAATCTCAACTTATTCAAGAAAATGTATTCATTTTCAATTTGTCTTTATTTGCTATGACTTGCTTTCAAAGTTGGTAGTAGCTGTTTTTAAGTTTAATTTGTTTAAGTTTTAAGTTTAAAACAATGTATGACCAAACCCTTTATGAATAAATTGATGAATTAATTCATGAAAAACTTCGTGAATTTATTCATGAATAAAATCTCAATGTAAAGCAGCTGTTAGAAACTACATATCATACAAAACTTACAGGGCAGTTGTCAATGTCATTGAAGATATTGAACAAGGTAACTTGACCTTCAGCTTTCCTTTTATCTTCATTTATATGTGTCATTACTTCTCGTAGAGCTGCCAATGCTTGTTCCAAAGCTGCATTATCGGGATTCGACTTTGTCGTGTGCTTTAAAATATCTGAAATAATGACACCCAAATATCACAACGCATCAATTGTAGTACTGAATATATACTGTCACTGATCGTGCAAATGTGTTTAAGTGCCTCAAGACATTATGAGTAATTTTTCAGAAAAGTAATATTAGAAATGTCATTTCAAGCATCTTCCGTAAGGGCCCCACAGATTTTGTTCCATTCAAGCAACAGGACCCTGCGGACCAAATCATGCAAACCAAGAAAGGCAACGTATCTAACCCAAACAGATTTCGCAGAACGGTGAAACCGTAACGCTGTTTTCTCCACACATTGCCTGCCTGGCACGTTCGTACAGATTTGTGCAGCCCAATTTGCGTGAACTGAATGTAGTCTATGCATTTTTACTTTATTTTGAAGGTATTATGCTATACTTCGCGGTCGAAATTATGGAGAGTGACTAATCACTAGCTCTTGACTAGGTAAAGAGGATGAAGCGTACGGGGATCGAAAATCCATAGGCGCATCAATTTAGAAGGCAACAAGATATAGAAAATATGGAAAAAACGTAATAATACATAACATCTATTATTTTTCGAGGTTTTATCAAAAAAACTTCAAAAATATTTTAGCAACATTTTGTTTTTAAATTTTAATTGTTTTCTAAAAAATGCCCCTTGGCATTGATGACCCATCACCACCCGGCTTACAAGATATTTGACTATGAATATATTTAAGTACTTACATATTTTATAATAATTATCTCACACGAATATTATTGCGGTCACATTTTCCCTTCACTGTTACACTTTCACTATACTGACACACTTTCACTTTACTGTCACTATACAGGGTGTCCTGAAACACATGCAACAAAATTTGGTCATAGATTCTTAAGACAAATTTAGGAGACACGTATTTTTTCTTTTTGCCAACTGGCCCCCTCTTTCGGAGTTACAGCCCCCCGAAATCTGCCCTGAATAAGTCTTTTTTATATCTCAAAAGCATGTTGTACGAGAATCACTAAATTTGGTACATAGGGGTTTTATGACATGTGGAATCTCACAGTGCTACGCTTTTTGGTGAGAAACCCCCTTAAGACACTTTTTCGTGGGCCCCCTCTGTGCAGAAAAATTTGGTCGCAAATTTAATTTTTTTTTTAATTATTAGTTAACTAGAAAGCCATTGAATTTAGAAACTGTTTTGTCTCTTGATATTTGTTTCGTAAAACACAATGTTTTTGAGGAAAATGGTGAATATGCATTCGATCACATTTTGACATTTTTCTCGAAAACATTGCGTTTTACAAAAAAAGTATAGACAAAAAGTTTATAAATTTAATGTCTTCCTAGTGGACAGATAATTTTTAAGAAACTTAAATATGCGACCAAATTTTTTTGGCTCCTAAGACAAGGGGGGTACAACAGGGTTCTGAGATATAAAAAAAAGATTATTCTTAGGGACGGATTTCAGGGTGCTGTAACTTCGAAAGAGGAGGCCACTTGGCAAAAATAAAAAATACGACGGGTCCCCTACATTTGTCTTAAGAATCTGTGACCAAGTTTTGTTGCATGAATTTCGGGACACCCTGTATAGGAAAATTTTCACATATCACTGTTTTTAATTGTCATTGTTGCTATCACTATCACTGGAATCATCTTCCCCTAAATGAGTAATGAGTAGTTCTATGAAAACTTCCATAAGATCCCACATATGGGATCTTTCCGTGCATGTTCAATACACTTACGCCATGTTTCAGCAGTGACATTGTTAATAGCCTAATGTAATAATTATTTCACTTTGTTTATTTTAAAAGTGGTGTTATTTCGAGCAACTTCATTTTTTATTTGTGCCCAAACTAACTCGATCGGGTTTAATTCACAGTGGTATGGCAGTAAACGGAGTATACAAACTCCTTGAGCTTTAGACATACCATCCACTACATACTTAATGTATAGAACTTTTTCTATTTGTACAATTTTTATTAATTGTACTTTTAGGATGGTCTCTGTATGTTAAATGTTTTTCAATTTTAACCAGTCCATAATTGTCCATATTTGCTTTTGTCCATGCTGAAGTTGGTAACATTTCGAGTCTTCTGCTATAATAAGGTGCGTTATCCATCACATTAACTGCTTCTGGTTCTAGATATGATAATCTCCCGTCTTTCGTGACTTAAATACATACAAACCATGTTCTAAAAATCCCATATCTCTTCCAATATGTGTTATTATCAATCTTCGTCCTTTTCCAGAAAGTGTCTTTAATCCAGTAGAAAATCCATCTAAAAATGCTTCTCTCTTATTTTTAACATTACCATCCTACCAAACTTTTGATACAGTATGACCTTCGTTTAAACATGTTTCATCCATGTAATATATCTTCTTGGCAGGTGCACAAAGTTCTCTATATTTTTTCGTATTCTCTTCACCATAATACAATTTCGTCTTTTTCAACGAGCATACTATTCCGATTCCATTTCAAATATTGAAAATTCATTACGCATTGTTCTACCTCAACCCTATCAGAAAATTTAGGGATACCTCATCTTCAGCTATTGCAGCTTGAATTTTTTTTATCATTGATATTTCATTTTTAAAGAAAAATCCATTAATTTTCCTGCTAGTTTCATGCCCAAATTCCTTCATATACATTTTTTACCATTATTAATTCCGCATCGCATAGGTTATGACCAACAGACCATTTGCTACAACCGTCACTTTGATTCATTTTAATTATTACTACGTTTTAAAACTTCCCGGTTGTATTTTTTTAATTTATAAATTTATTAAAGCCACGTAATCAGCACTCCGCATGTCCGCATATTCTATGGCATTTCTAACGATGACTAAATCAAATATTACGTACGTCCGTTTACACCCACTGAAAAAGCATTTTCCTATAAGTCCTATAAGTGCAATAGACAAAGATAGACGATTATAGATCCTATTGATGTGTATAGAGAGCAGCACATCATTTAACACAAGACAAATAATATTAAAAATCATTTTATATTTTATACGCTTTATAGTAATAGTGTTTTTATATTATGTCAGAGTCACTCTCCATAATTTCGACCAAGAAGTATAATACAAATAAACTATTTTTTTATTTTATTTTTTTCTTCTGTAACTCCTCCCAACTAACACAAACAGTGAGAAATACTATTATAAAAGTCATTGTAACCTATATTTAGAATGCGTGTAGAGAATAAAACTATAAATGTAACTCAGTCTATAGACAATTATAGATCCTATCGATGTGTATAGAGAGCGGCACATCATTTAAACAAGACAAATAATATTGAACTGTTATAAAAATCATTTTATATTTTATACTCTTTATCTTTATAGTAGTAGCGGTTTTATATTATGTCTTGAGTCACTCTCTATAATTTCGACCACGAAGTATAGTCCATCAAGTAATTGTTTCCCCCAATCATTAGTTAAGAATCTTGTTTATGAAGTTAGATATCTTTTACATAGGTACCTTGATTTTTGGTATCGAATAATACTGTAACTTGATTCAATAGAATTTAGAAAAAATGTTTGAATTTGAATCGACTTTATACAGGGTTCATAGTTCAAAAGTAATGAAAAATTCCCTGACTTTTCCAGGTTTTCCCTGACTTATCAAAATAAAATCCAGGTCACTTGTAGTTCATTTTTACATACTAATTGGTGTTTATGCATTAAATTTTTCCTCGACTGGACTCCATAATCTTTTTTATCCCCTAAGAACCTCTTATAAAGGTTTCAAAACCACAAATAGTTTTCTCTTTCAAGAACACAGGGCCGGCTTTCACAAAATTTCCAGTTGCAAACATCAAATTCCCTGACTTTCATGAATATTTTTAAAATTCCCTGACTATTCCCTGTTTTTTATGAAGAATAACGAATTCCCTGACTTTTCCCGGTATTCCCGGTTTTCCCGGCCACTACGAACCCTGTTATAAGTAAAAACGCAAGAGCTAATAATAAAATATACAGGGTCTCCCAGAATATGTAGCCAAGCATTCGGATTTATACAGGGGATGTTAAAATAATATGGCAAGGTTCTATAAAAAATTTTCCTCCTATGGACATACAGGCTCCTAAAGGACGCCCCTGAAAATCGATTTTTTTTAATAACTTTTAAAATACTTTATGTAATTTAATTATTTTTAGGAAAAAACAAATATAAATAAGTGGCACAGAAAGAATGCAAATTTCATCGGTTTATTTCGTTTTACGGATATAAAAAATCATATTAAACAAAAATTGTTTTTTCTCGACAACGATTAATTTTATCGATGTCAAACAAGAGTACCTTTTTTTTAGATTAAGGTTCAAGCTATCTAAAAATATTATTTTTGTGCCTTTATCGTAAAGGGTGTAAAAAAAATTGACATTATTGTCAAGTAATTTAAGTTACTAAAAAAAAAAAAAAATCGATTTTCAGGGGCAACATTTAGGGGCATGTATCTCGGAAGGGGGGTCCTCCAGAGAAAAATTTTATATAGACTTGTCATGTTATTTTAACGTTCCCTATATAAATCCGCGAGATTGCCCACAAATTCTGGCACATTCTGTATATATTTTGACAAATACACTGCATATAAGCTTGGATCAGCTTAAAACTTTAGTTCTAAAAGGAAACCTATACTGTAGTGTATTTTTGTTGCTTATAAACAGTTATAAAATCAGAGTGTAGTGTATATGCCCCGTACCACACCATTTTCGTGTTTCCATAAAATTTCAATGACTCTAAAAAGTGACTTCACTTCACAGATTTATTATTACACCAGAACAGATGACTATTCATATCCAATCCAAGTCATTAAAAATAGAAGTTTCAGTTAACTTGTTAAAAATGAAATTTCAGATTTCCAAACAATTAACAATATCTGCAAATACTTACCATTTAACAACAAACTGATACTTCCTAATCTCTGGACTGGCCTTATCATAAGTTCCTGGAGACTCTGTCTGCCACATTCGGGTCTTGTTTGGCACGCTTTCAAGAAGGCATGAAATCTAGGTTTGTTCTGGTCGCACTGGGACAACACTTCCTTCATTTCTTCGAAATAGTTAATAAAAGGGGGATAAGCCTTTAACAGTTCTGTTGAATATTTTACAATTATATTTCCTATACTGCGATCTTCGTTCCAATGGGCCGAAGTCCATCGAAATTCATCGAGCATTTTTACGTGTGTTTCATATATCAGAGGTAATTTACCAAAAATAAGGTTCAGTTCTGTATTATTGAGGAGGGCCTCTTCGTCTGACATCTCCTCGAGGTGTTTCTTGAACATCTGAAACAAATATTAAATACAAAAAAGGTCGAATCAATAATTGCAGATTTTTGGGCAGAAATAATACGATTTAAAAAAAAAATAAAAAAAAACATATTACCTCTTGTATTTTTTACTCTTTTTTAAGGTTTATCTGATTTGGAATTGAAGAACAAGTATTCATAAAAAAATTAATATAAGCTTATTAATATGAAGAAAATCCTCAAAAAAAATTATGACTAGTTTGGATACCTAAGAGACGAGATATTAATAAATACATTTTTCACGATTTAGTACAGTCTAATCAGAATGCAGGACGGGAGTGAGCGAACGCCGAGCCGAACGCGCCAGCCAAGTGTGACGTTGCTAAATCTAAAGACTTACTACTTTAGTCACTAGCGAATCTACAGAAACTTTTGTTAGACTTTAGACGTACTTCCGTACCCGATAAACCTCCTTAAAGGTATTAAGATTAAGTTAATTCAAATAAATTCAAAATAGGTTTTCCTTATCCTTATACTAATTTTCATGTCAGTTTCTAACAAAAACAAAGTTCTTAATCAAATTCATGACTGTTAAATATCATCCAGAAACATATTTGAATTACATAATATCACTCAAGGACATTTTTGTAAATATTGATTTGTTGCTTAAGAAATCCTAAGAAGTGTCATAAGTTAAAAAACTATACTCCACGGTAAAAATTATGGAGAGTGACTCATCGCTAGCTTTTGGACTAGTAAGGGGGATGAAGCGTGCCGGGAACGAAAATCCACTGGCGTGTCTGCGTAAAAGGCAACAAGATATAGAAAATATTGAAAAAAGATAATAAAACATAACATCTAATATTTTCTACGGTTTGCTATAATCGGCATTTTGATCCATTTTAATTATTACAGCATTTTAAAACGTCCCAGTTGTGTTTTTTTAATTTATAAATTTATTATAGCCATGGAATTAGACCCC